ACATACATACATACATACATACATACATACATACATACATACATACATACATACATACATACATACATACATACATACATACATACATACATACATACATACATACATACATACATACATACATACATACATACATACATACATACATACATACATACATACATACATACATACATACATACATACATACATACATACATACATACATACATACATACATACATACATACATACATACATACATACATACATACGGTTTTTCAATGGCGGCTAAGCGTGTTTGTATTGCGGAAATTTTATGGTCTTTGTTGAATAATCAAGAAAATATGAATGACGAGGGTTTTAAATTAGAAGTTGTAGAATTCTGTACTAATGATGAAATACTTAATGGTAAAAAAATTTTATTAACTGAAATAGAAGGTTTAAAAAAAGATAAAATTAAGTTAACGGCTTGTGGTAATACCAAATATGATAAAGTTAGTGAACTTTTGGAACTTATTATGTTTTGATATAAATTATGTTTTGATAATAATTTGATGGACCTGTTGCCTACATTTACAATATATAATATATACCGAATATCTTTAAGACTAAAATAGCAAAAATATTAATGATAATTTAATAAAATTAAATGATAAAATAGAGAAAAATAAACAATTGATTGTGCAATTAGCTAAACAATTGAATAATAGAAGCGATAGTGCACGAACGTGTAACACATGTGAACAACAAAGCAATAACGGTAAAGGTCGTTTGCAGCGTATTGAAAGTGTAAACAGCGCAAGTATTCTTTCAGGTGATAACGTTGACAACTGCGCTAGTAAAAAATCTTGGGCCGACAGAACCGCTAAACGCCACACGTCGCAAAGTAAGTCGTGTGATGAAATTGTCGGCGACGATGGTTTTCAAGTGGTGAGAAGTAAGAAACGAAAAAATCGTCAACCTCTCCACAACTGGCATCCCCAAAACCTGCGTCAAAACCAGCTTCAAAACAAATGAATTGTTGGCGACTTTAACACTGACTTGCTTAACGTAAACTCACAAAACATAATAATGTTTGAAAATTTATTGTCCTCTTATGGTTATATTCCGCCAATAGAATCTCCTACTCGTGTTACTCCTTCTACAGCGTCACTAATTGACAATATGTTCACAAATTCGTCTGAATGTTTTAATAGTGGAGTAATCATCTCAGACTTCTCCGATCACTTTCTTATATACTCAATATCTAATAATCCAAATCTGCTAAACCGTTCTCATCAACTTCTTAATAAGCGAAATTTAAGTAAAAAAACTGTAAATCAAATTAAAACCCATCTTGCAGCAGCTGACTGGACTCCTTTAATGAATGATCGTAATCTCGATAATGCTTGCTTATCCTTCTACAACATAATTAATAACTCACTTGAACTGTTTGCTCCTTTCCAAACTTATAAACCTAGAAACAAAAAATCACGGATAACAAATGATATTTTAAAAATGTCGAATAAACAGTATAAATTGTACAAGAAATATCTACTTAATCCGACAACT